GCGTGGATACGATTCGATCAAAGAAACGCGACGCCGACGATAGTCCGATTAAATATTTGAAGAGTCATGAGAATTGTATATAACGATACTCCACGTGCTCCACGTCGCGGCACGTCCGTTGTGTTCGTCAGCTCGAGACGTAATGACTCAGAGAGGTACATGACGCTCAGCAATACCAAAACAATAGGCAAAAACGTTCCCCATCAGTCGCCAACCGTCGTCGTGCGCCGTTAATAACAACGCATCTCGGTAGCCCAGATATCACAACAATCAATCAAAACATGACTCATGTTTGGAACTTTCCAACGACGTCTGTTTACTTCCATTTAAAGGCTTGGTGTTATTGTCCCGAGTCCAAATTTGAATTTCTTAAATCGAAAGTTCCAACGTCAATAAAAAATGGTGAGATATATAACATTAACGAAATAACAATGATCTGCATAATGTTGTATCTCAAGATTCTTCACGGGTTCTTTCAATTTCACGGAATTTTCGGCGTCAGTAAAATCGATATTACGTCACAGGATAGAACATGACGTCTGGAAAATGCAGTAAAGAGTGAAATTAACCAATTAGACGCGAAATTGGTGAAGATAGAGCGCGGAAACTTTGTGATGGCGATTCTACAAAACGTATTAGCGTGGTACACTCAAGGAGTTACCTCGTTCGCGAAGATAGTATGTGTAATAACGCAGTTATTGATAACTACGTTATTAATAACGTACCAGCGGTATAACGTAGTTATTGCATGTAGGCACGTTTATATCACACACATATAGACACACACATGTACACATCGCGCTACAACAATATTGCTCGCGATATTACCTTGATAGGAAATCATTTCTAATATTAATCGTTCTGCCAACGACAGCGGAAAAATGATCTTTCGTTATTTGTACCTGTAGGTGTTTTAAAACACGTCGTTTGACAAAGTCGCGCAAAAATGTCGCGAAACATCTCATTCGGGATGACATTCTCTAGTTCCGTAAGATAAAAAATACGCGGAGAGAATGTTATAGATTTTTTCCGTATTAATTCTTTTTTATTTTATCATGCTTTCAGTAGCAAATAAGAAACAAGACTTACTTGTCTTGTAAATTTCGCTAAAGACATGGTGAATCTTTTTAGAAACGTGCTTTTACAGTTCTTAAAATATAGAAGTACACATAAACTGAAAGAATCGTCAATTGCTGACCTATCCCTGAGTTGCAAAATTCCATAGTAATTTTTGCCACAAAATTCTCTCTGTGTAGTCAATTGGAACTGTGGCGTTATCTTACAATGCGTGTATTGTGCGTTCGCTCTCATGTGTGATATATAAGCGAATTTACGCGAAACTGTATCTAAGTACGTAAACATTAAGGTAGTATTTAGGCAAGCATAGGTAATATCATTCTCACAGGAATCCTTTGTGAAGTTAAACTTGAGTCGTAGACAAAAGGCGAAGTCTAGTGTACCTGACATTACTGCCGCCCGATGGGTTCGTTACGTTATGTCAGGTTATGAGAAGTTGGAATTTCTCGGCAAACAGCTAATTAATGGTAACAAATGGCAAACAGCCAATGAATAGGGTAACAAACTCGAGGCAGTTATTCCGCCGAATCGATCAGATGGCAGATGGGGAGTATGTTTTCTGGCGGGTAAAATTTGTTTGGAAAACCGCACGATATCTGCGCCGAAAAGAGAGCTTCCGTTATCGGCGGTATTTTTGCGCCCAATGGTTTTATAACGCGCCAATTGATAAACTTGCGGAAGTTTCGTAGCTCAGATTCATTCGCGAGATAAACACGAATTCGCAAAAGCTCCAGCGCGCGTTAGCAACGCGCAAATATCGACGCGACGAAAAATGACAATACTACTTCTCAATTCGACGTGAAGCGAAAACAATGTGAAATAACGCAAAAGTGCATTATGAGCAAATGAAGTTGAATTCTCGTCGATGGCGCGGCACGTCATACGCAATATGAACGCGACGAGAGGATATAAATATAAATTAAAATGCATTCGCGCTCGCGGCGCACAAAGTCACTCACAGGCTCGCACGTGCGCGCGATTATATAGATGAATACGTGCGTTTTTCGCAATTACTTGTTCTTTCCAAACGCAATTTTCAGCAATTTCGTCGCATAATGGTGCCCGTAATAGGCATCTGCATAAACAGAGAAGTTCAAAAGACGCGCGTGCGGCACAATTTGCGAGCCACTTACTGCCGAACGATCTTCGCGAATTAGAATGTCAAAGGTAGCGAATAAGCAACGGTATTATTTGCTTTTCAATTAATCGCGGGTAGCCGTTCGCGTCGGCGAAAGTTCCATTCGGAACTCAATTTCCGACGTTGAAGACGAGTGCTTCGAATCGGCTCTCGCCCTGGGAATACTTCCAACTATTCGCGGAACATGAAATTCCGTTGCGGGCGTTTGCGGGCTCGCGTTTTTTCCTCCTCTATTTCCCTTCATTCTTGTTTTTTTCTTACTTTTCGTTTTCTTTTTTTTTTTTTTCGATTCGGACACCACCTGCCATCTCGAGGAAACGGCGGAATGTGGGTTACGCCAGTCACGTTGTAATTTGTTGCGGCGGTCCGTCGTAAAACGCGCCGTCGCCATCCTAAGGAATAGGACTTTAATATACGCGTTAAAGTTCGAAAACTGTCCGGGGCGATGTGCATCCAGCGGAAAACATCCGGCGCGCTGCACGCCACGATAGATCCCCCGGTCTCCGGGCTGGTGGTGTACACGCCCCGTGTAAAGCAACGCTCGCGAGAAGGTGGAATATTAATGAGCGCGAGAGCGGAATCGCTGGATGCGCCGGAAAACGTTTCGCTCCCGGAAGCGGAAGAGCGTGTACGTGAAAATAGAGTCCGGTCCGCTCGGCGAGCAGATTCGAATCGTGTTATTTCCACAAATAAAGGTACTATTTTTCCCTGCCCTCCCTCATTCCGAGTTTTTGCAAACTCGCGGGGAGAAACGCGAGCGGAAAAATTCGTTTCCGCGCACCCAATAAGAATGCCTCCCATTTTTTTTTCATATTTTCCACATAACGTATGAAATAAATAATAAAATAATAATAAAATTTGACGTGTTACATGTTATTTGTGTATGTCATGAAGAAAAGGTACATTTTATGTTCCATCGATGATTGTTTTTTTAAGAATTTTGTTATCGTTGTTTTGTTGATATTATTTTAAAAATTTTATCAGTCTAGTTTTTTAGATTAATGATGTGTACTAAAAAAATAATAGATAGCTATGTTCTATATATATATATATATATATATATATATATATATATGTAACGAGCCGTTCACGAAACAAATAGAAATAGAAATAGAACAAGAACCGGGTAACGATAATCAAACGACTCGTCACGAAACCAAACGCGACAAACCGATGTAAACATCACCGACCGACCGCAAAGATCACAACATAATAGCATGTTAAAAGAAGTATAAAAGACCGCACGAAAAGCTCAGCGAGAGCAGTCTTCCGAGGCACTCCGCTAAACAGAGCTCAGACTCCAACAGCAATAGCACCTCGTGAACACCGCTAACTAGAACACCGCTTCCAAGATCTTCCTCGATACCGCTCCGTCGACTTATTGGATTCGTAAAGTCGACATCCGCGTAGACTTATTGGATTCGTAAAGTCGACATCCTTGATTACCGCTCCGTCGGCTTGTTGTATTCGCAAAACCGACAGCCACGTAGACTTATTAAATCCGTACCGGCTACCGCTCCGTCGACTCGTTGGATTCGTAGAGTCGACACTCGCGGAGACGTGTCGGATTCGTAAAGTCTACATCCTTGATTACCGCTCCGTCGGCTTGTTGTATTCGCAAAACCGACAGCCACGTAGACTTATTAAATCCGTACCGGCTACCGCTCCGTCGACTCGTTGGATTCGTAGAGTCGACACTCGCGGAGACGTGTCGGATTCGTAAAGTCTACATCCTTGATTACCGCTCCGTCGGCTTGTTGTATTCGCAAAACCGACAGCCACGTAGACTTATTAAATCCGTACCGGCTACCGCTCCGTCGACTCGTTGGATTCGTAGAGTCGACACTCGCGGAGACGTGTCGGATTCGTAAAGTCTACATCCTCGCGTACCGATCCGTCATCTTACTCGATTCGGAAGATCGACCCCGCGAAACCGCATCTTAGCGCACAACCGCAACGCCAAATCCGAAGCATCACGCCCGCAGGGCCGGGTGAGTCGTCAAGTAACGGCTCTCTTCGCGCGACCAAAAGTTAAAGATCCAAACGTCAACATCGTGCCGCAAGCACAACACGATCGACGCGTCACACGACCGCCCGCGTCCCGCGACCGCCAGCGGCCCCACAGCCGAGCTCTGCAGCAGCAGACATCAACACGCGCGAACACAAAAACCCGCGCGCAAAACCAACGGCGCCGACTCAACCTGTACATACTCATTGTAAATAGCCATCTAATCGACAATATATATTATTCTACTATCCATCCCACTGTCTTCACGATTATTGACATCTGCTCGAATCCGGACCGCACCGACTCGCAGCTTATCCCGCATGGAACGCGAAATAGCGTTACATA